TGATTTTCAATATGATACGGATGAAACTTCTTCTTCGATATTTTATTAGTCAAGCTTTTGAAAACTCCAAGGTTACTACTAATTTCCTGGCACTAATATTTGGATTTTCAACAGCAGACGCCACAACTTTAAACTAAATATTATCGTTGTTACTTTCATATCTCCTGGTAGTTTTATCATAATTCGCATTTGCTGTTCATTCAAACCTTTCCTTCACATTTTCAAAACAGTGGTAATCTGTTAATTTGGATTATTTGGCAATAAATTATTTGAGGGCTTCTTTTAATAAAATGGTAAACCATTTAAGGGCGTAGCTCAGCCGGGTGAATCTTGGAACGACTAATCGTAAAATGATATAAATTATAAATATGACCTTATCGTCCGGTGGTATAAGGATCCTGGGTGATAAGTAGTCCTCCACGGAGTGACCACGTGCTAATTTTTGGTTGCGGCTGGTGTTTCGTTTCCGCGATCTCCGATGTTCTAACTGGGTGTTATCAAATTATTGGGGCTGCTAGCTCCACTATGTATTATGTAAGTCAGTCCCAGAATGGACGACCATAGACAATCACAAAGAAAAAAGGCCTAGAAATGAACGGAGTTATTGTGGGCAATAAAGGCAGTGAGGGTGAATAGATTCACCTCCTCAAATTTGTATAAACGGCTCTCATTAAAACCAAAATGTGACAATTCGCTTTACCTGAGATGTTGTGCGGCCTTTCTTATAAGTCCTATTGCACTTCACAGCAAAAATCCAGACACTAATCTGCGTTCTAGCTACAACGACAATAACCAGTGGTCGCAGTGCAACGGATTATTTAATTAATTAACTGGGGTAGATCCGCAATTTTGCGTTTTGACTGCTTTCTTTCAAGCCTAAATACCAAGTCCCTCTTTAATTTTATTTCAAGCCGCAAAAACTTATCGTCTTTTTGCCCATACTCGGCGGTGATAGAATTATAAAGCCGTTCATTTCTAGCTGGAGCGAAATTATTGAGATAATAATATTTATTTTAATATTTAAAAAAATTAAGTTGGTACCTGCCCAGGAAAAACTGAACACCCTCTATATGCAAATATATTTTCATTTTGTGCAGCTCGGTAAAGTAGGCAACTCTGTAGAAAAAAAAATTAAGTTATATCTTTTATTAACCTAGATATTGGACTTACGCGCACTAGGTGGACACGGTGTATTCTTTAAATCCAACCAATAAAAATAAAAAAAGCACACATACATTTTTGTAACTGCAAACAAACATTTTAAACAATATTCCTAATGCTGTCAAACGCAAAAAAGTATATAAATTAACTCTCAAAAAATTATTATGGATAAATTATATTATAAATAAATATGTTGTTATTAGTGTAACAATGCACGCTAACATTTTTATTGATTGTATAACTAAACAATTTCGATTTTTATCCGTTGATTAATTTTGTATGAGAAAACTAATTTAATGACTGTTCTATTTATCATTTCGAATAAATTTTGGGGATTGTGGTGGTCACTGAACAGGAGCATTTTTCGTGGAGGCACTGTATATATGGGTATCCCTACAATATTTATCGTCCAAATAACAAACAACAGAAATATATTGATTCGAATTTTGTTTTATGATGTACACTAAAACTGAATAAATTTTTATATGAAATGGTAATTCCTGTAAACAAGAACATAAATTTTAAACTTAAAATGGAAATTGCTACATGTACCAATAATACGAGTATACTCTATTAGTTTTCCACACGCTTGATCTTCCACCAGTAATTTTCTGTCCATGTGATAAATTTGATTCAATAATATATTTATTTATTCATTATGTTTTGCTTCAACTTATAAATTTTAATAACCATGGAGAAAAATATAATTCATTTATGTGAACAAGCTTCCAAAACGTATATCGTAGAGACAGCTCTCTCTATTAAAAAAAAATTACGTACTCGCTCCCTTGCTCGTCCCTTATACAGAGATATCCGATTAAATTTATTGTGAAAAATTATTTATTTCTAATAATTGAAATTACTTAAATTTAAAAAATCGCTTATGCATCCCCATTTTATAATCTTTTCTAATCTATTTAAAGCGGGATTCATTTACAAACTGGTAAGTACAACAAAAATTTAAACAAATTTAACCAAAGAAAAAAACGTTGCTTTAACAATCCTTTATTACCTGCAATATAATTCACACATAATAAACTTTCATCAACTAAAAACGTAGAATATACAAACAAAATGTAATCCATTATACCAACCTTGTCTTGATAAAAGGTTATTTATGTAGGAAATGTGTCACTTGTCAATAACACAGACCGACAAAATATAACTGACCTTCTAAATCAGAAAGAAGACGTACACTCCTGATGTCCACAGAAACTGAATCTGAACTCGGAATTAACTTAAACGCACCAACAACTCGTTATGGCATCTAAAATTATTGCTGCCTCTTCAAAATTCACTTAGAATCGTTTGCTTCCCGAAAACCGTTTGTTGAAATTAATTAGTTTTTCGTATTAGTCGATGTTCAGGGGTTCAGGAATTTGCTGTATTGGAGCTTATTGTGCTTGGAAATTCGATCTCCAGGGCTATGGAATTTGTCCGCGTCGAAATTCCTTCCTCGAGACTATGGGGTATTTGAATTTGTTCCCGTGGACATTCAGTCCCCAGAGTTTTGGTATTACAGAATCAGCTCACCCGCCATAATGGATCCACCATCTTGAATTTCGAAAGTGTAATGCTACATTCAACGATCTCAATATTCTCAGAATTATTTATAGCAGAAACACGCAATCAATAGTTATCTTCGATCTGAGAGAATAAGTATTATTATGATCGTAATATGAAAACTTCATAATTTTCTTCTAAAAGACATGGCGTTAGATTAGATGATAAATTGTATATCTATACATTTCCCTAAAAATTTTGCATAGTATTCGACAACATTCTTTTGATTTCTAAATTCTAACATTTCTTTATTCCATCCTTTATATAGAATCGGCCGTTTTGAATTTTGTAATCCTGACTTCTTTGTACTCACAAATCCCAAAAAAACCCTGAAACTATGAATAAGAATTTAGGCGTCCTCTCTTTTTGAGTCTTCACCTGATGATACTCAATTTCCAAATATCGATGAATACGCCAAACTAATCAGTTGCAACAGAATACTTCTTGGAGAAGAAAGAAGAATAATTTAAAGTGGATTTTGAAGGGGAAGTGTGGCACTTTCAAATGTCTTAACGAGTTTTATGACCTGACGTGATGGAACGATTCTGAGATCGGATTTGAATTCAGCACGTCAAAAATCTTCTGAATAAAATCTTCGAAAAAGCATATTCTGGTTTCTGGTTTAAAATTTTAATCGGTCAGTGTAATTAATATCTATAACTGCTCAAACTTCTCTCTAGTTCCGTTATTTTTATTATCCCTGAATATTCGGATTCAGCAAAACTGAAACCTCTCGCCGCTCACAGTGTGGCAGAACCTGCTCTATATGCCAGGAAAATAAGCTGGAAAATGACCATTTCGCGACTTTTTATTTCGGCAAGCTGAATTTATCACTATAGATGCTAAATATTATTTATCTACAATAACATATTAGTTTCCACAGACATAAAAATGGGGAGAAGATTGTTTACAGGATGGTTAATTGTATAATTTTTATGTAAATTCACGTTTCTCGCTTATAACTTTTTTCCGTTCATTTCGACGAGAAAACAATAAAGTACTTTTTTTCGTCTTCAAAAGACCTGCAAAACTCGAGCGTCAAAAAATATTGATTAAATCAAAAGTTATAAACAGAAGAAGTTTATTTATGGCTTTTGAATTAAAGATTTATAAACTACATATTCGGAAACTTATGAAAAGAGCTTTAAGATAAAAAAAAATCGTCAAGATTCTTTGAAAAACAACGGAGTTACAGACTGTCAAAGTTGACGGCCTATTGTTAACAACGAGTCCGAAGAAAATGACGATAATATTCATAGTCCTGCCGTTAAATAAGCGAAATTCGCTTGAAGATAATATATTTGACAGTCTGTAACTCCGCTGTTTTTCAACGATTCTTGACGACTTAAAGCTCTTTTCATAAGCTTTCCGAATATGTAATAATATATAACTATATCACGCTCGTGCGTCGTATATTTCATTTTGCAACTAAGGCTAAAAAATAAAAAAAATTTCCAGGTTGCAAATTTGAAATTAAAAAAAAATGATAGATTTCAATGTATTATTATGAAATCTACCATGAAAAAAATCAGTGCGATTGTGGAAGATCCTCGGGATCGTCCAGACTAATAATTAGTTAATTTGTTTATAAGGCCATAACTTGTAAACTATTCAACTTACCGATTCCAGATTTCGTGTGAGTTATTAGACAGTGATGAATGAGAGGATGCAATGCCAAAACGTTCTGGTAATAATAAACCCAGTTTGTGAATGTTTAATTCAAAAGTCATAAATAAACTTCTTCTGTTTATAACTTTTGATCTAATCAATATTTTTTGACGCTCGAGAGCTAGTTTTGTAGGTATTTTAATAAAGTATTTGAGTCGGATGACCTTGGATCATTTAATTGTAGTATGGAAGCAATTTGTTCCCATTTTGAATATTTAACAAATGTAACATTCTTAACTGAATATTTCTTAACTATTTACATTTTTCTCATATCCCACAACATCTATACAAATTTAGTGTCCCTATAATGAGAATTGTGAAAATTAATAGTGGTCAATCTTCTCTAAAATGATTCGTGTACTGATGTGTCACAAATAAGCACAGGTCCTTCTGAAAACAAAATTGGCCTCTCTCAGTGTTTTTCGAACGTTATCCAAATATTACAAATGCGTACTCTGCATTAAGAAATCCTGTAAAAATACACCTATACGTACTTAATTTTTATAAATCTCTATAAGGAATTTTGTGGAATAATCTTACCCCATCCCGTTTTATCTATACACACTTACAAACGCTACAGCTTTAATATCACGTCTTTATGATTACAGGTTCGGCGTCGTCAATCAAAGAGTTTCCTACATATCACCCCAGCACAATGATAACTACTACATGAGGAGGCCAAATAAAAAGACGGACTACAAAGTGTTCCACAAAATACCGCCGTCGTCTTTGCTGCTAACGAGCTACGATCCTTTCTACAGTCCCCTGTTGTCGCGCCTGGACGCCGTCTTTCAACAACTGGGACTTGGAAACGATAAATCTCCCCAAACGGAGAGATGCAGGGAGCGTCTAGTGTGCCTAATGTACGCGAATCCAGCTAAATATGCCCCGTACAGCAATTTGGTTTCGGCCCAGTTAAGCAGGTAAATATTCATACGAGAGACGGGAAACAAATGTTAAGTAGTTGTTGTAATTCAACACGACTTCACGTTAAATGTGGAGATTATTTCTGGTGGGATCAAAATAAATTTCCTATACTGAACAACAAAGAGTTGTAGAATTATGAATGTTGGTGGTCAATTTTTAGTGGGATTACAAGTTACGTACTAAACAATGATAGAAGAAAACCTACTTAACACGTTGACTGCGGTACATACCTCGGGGGGTATGTACTCATTATAAAAAATATGCGAATCACAATAATCACATTTTTACTGTATCTTGTGGAAGTTGCAGAATCTGTACTTTTTAGAAATAATGATTTTTCTATTATTTTCTTTTCAAAACCCTTTGCGAATGAAAACGTTAGTATCCTAGGATATATAGTTACAGATACATGCAAGTTTATAGCAATAATTGTGTTATTTTTAATTTTATAGGGTCAAATGTAAAAAAAATTACATATCCCCAGGGATATGTACCGCACACAGAAGAAGTTTTGTTACATATCCCCGAAGATATGTATCGCAGTCACGGACAAAGTACATTGAGATTATCTCGCAGTCAA